CTAGTTGTTTCTACATGCAAAGTCAGAACCAACACGGAGCTGGCCTTCGGAGGGTTGGAAGAGGCTGTAAATCGCATGAGAGTGTATGCAAATTGTTGGTTTATATTGATTTATATGTGAGCTAATACAGAATAAAAACTTTTTAAAATGCCACTTGGCCTTATGCACAAATTAAAAAAGAAAAATTGTGTGGGAGAAGAGAGTCCATTTTTTCCCCCCTGTGATAGCTCATAGATTTGAATCGCATATGCCTTGGGGTTGGTAGTACAACTCATAGGCCACCGTTATTATGTGCTGTCAAGTCAGAACTGACCCATAGCTGACCCTCCAGTGAGTTTTCAGAGGCAGTTAATGGCATACGAGGAGATTGTCCATCCTTCTCCCACAAAGCAGGTGGTAGATTTGAACTGTGTGCCTTTGGGATTGCAGTGTAGCTTCTTACCACTAGGCCATGAGCCCCCGAGTTCTCTTAGATAAACATAAGTTTAAAAAATCTTTTTTATTTCAGTAATATTTCTACATAAATCATGCAGCATAATCCTTTAATTAGTAACTCAGTACAGCTTTTTAAGGTGTTTTTAAAAAGTGGTTTCAATTTGTACAGTCAGGAAGCAGCCTGTTTCCAGAACTAAATGTCACCTCAACCTCTTGCCAAGGAAATCCCTCTACCTCCAGGAAAAATAATAATTTCTTTGACAAATGGTTGGCATTCTATTTACCCTTTAGAAGAATACATATTTTTCTTATTAAGAGTGAAAAAAATATTAAAAGTGAGTATATCTTGAGGCAAGAACAAGGAAAATTACTCACAAATAATTTCACATATTTATAATAAAGTATCGTTTTCAATTTAAAATCGAAGGTAGAACAGTTACATTTGCATCTGTATTATTCAACCAGTCTCCATTCCTGACATCTGAATCAAGCAAAACATAAGGAAATGATAAAACTTTTTTTAACTGCAACTTTGAAAGTTGCCAAGTCTACAGCATTGCTGCTGCTTCTACCCCCTTTTATAAAAATAATTTTTAAATACATACTACTTAATAATTCATTGTCCAAAACATTTGAACTCACAGCCACTTAATAGACACTTAAGAGCGCTGGTGGTGGAGTTAACAAGCTGTACTTAAAACCCAAACAGTGTGTGTCCTCTGTGGTTGGAATCCACACTGGCTCTGTGGTGGGGCATTCTCCTAGCACTAAGGTTTACAGCCTTGGGAACCCAAAGGAGGGTCACTATCAGTTGGAATCAACGAGATGACAATGAATTTGAAGGTCTTTATCATTCATTAATATAATTATCTTAGCAACGCTCAAAATGTTACAGTTGGAAGAATTTGAGATAAGAATTGATTTAGTAACCCTTGTGCATGGGTCATGGCTGGAACTCAGTGTTTCTTACATAATACCTTATATTGTTTTTACCATAATAATATGTTTTCTGGACCAATCAGAATGAAGGAGTGGAGTAACTTAAGATAGGAACCTTAACAGGAAAGAAAATGAGGAAAGAAACATCAGAATAACACTAATTAAGAGCCAAAATGAAGAATCAGCAAGACTCAGCGTCAGTGGCTTTTGTGCATAGGAGTAAAGACATAGATTTTGAAGATTTTACTAAAATAATAAGCACTGAAATCATAATGAGTTGTCACTAATATCTGTGTCATCAAGAAACAAGAAGAGCTTTTAATCAGCGTATTTGGGCTAAGGGCAGGGAGAGGAAAGAAATTTTAAAAAAGAGATTGTAATCCAATAGTTAAAACACATTAATATTCAAAACATAAAATATGGCCATCACACATTAACTTAAAATTTCTCATTCTTTGAGGATATCAGATGTATAAGGCATTACAAAAATATCGCTTCACCTAGATTTAGGAATACAGGCCTTCATTTCTGGCAATATGCTAGCTGGACTTTGACAAATTATGTTATTCTGGTGTTTTGTGTGAATTTATAAATACTCTGTTGTCCTCAGAACTATAGATGGATGGATGGATGGATGGATGGATGGATGGATGGATGGATGGATGGATAGATAGACAGACAGAGATACATTTAAACCACTGGATCCTTCATTAAGGAAGAATGACAATTTTTTAAAACAAAAAAGAAAAGAAACATTGAACAAAGCATAATGAGAACTAATGCAGGGATTTTTGCTACTCATCACTTAAAAGTTGTAGCTTGGGTAGTTTACTCACCCCCATTCTTATCCTCCCCACCAAAAAAAAAAGAACACCTCAAGCTCACTCTCACTGAGTGGGAACTAACCCATGATTCTCCAGAGCATTTCTGAGGCTTTAAAATGTAGAGGAGGAGACGGCCTATCTTTCTTCCCCGGAGCTGCTGAAAGATTTGAACTGTCCGAGTAAGCTGGCCTTTCATTTAGCAGTGGCACTTTCTAGAGACTAGGCATAAAATAAGCAGGTACTGAGTGCATCAATTTTGAAGGGACTAATAAACCAAGTATTAGATGATGAAGTTGATTATACTAGAACAAGCTTAAAAATCCTTTAAAATTTGAAATTGCCATTTTATGATTTTGTCATTTGTAGAGGGACTTCAGGCTTTTTGTTCATCTGAGTCGTGCTCAAATTGAAGGCAATCAACAACAACACTTAAATTTATAAGGAAGGTAGCATCAAGAGTGGAGGAAGTCTCATAAAGACCCTGCGCTATGTAGATGACACATCTTTGCTTTTAGGACCTGAAGTATTTGCTGAATAAGGTTAAGGACTAAAGTCTCAAATATGGATTGAAGCTCCACATTAAGAAGACAAAGATTCTTACCACTGGGCCAGTTGGCAGCACCATGATAGATAGAAAAGAGATTGGGGTTGTTAATAATGTCAGCTTGCTCGGCTCTACAAACAATACTCTTGGCACCAACATCCAGGAAATCAAAAGATTAATTGAATTAGGTAAATCTGCTGTCAGGGACCTTGCCAGAGTGTTGAAGAACAATGATATCTGTCTACAGACTAAGGTGAGCCTGATCCAGGCCATGGTATTTGCAATTACTTGCTATGCTTCAGAGAACTAATGACCAAAGATAACAGAAGAACAATTGATGCTTTTGAGCAGTGGTGATGGAGAGGAGTATTGAAAATACCATAAGAAAAAACATGTCTTTCCAGGAGAGGGTGAAATCAAGCTGCTCTTTGGAGGCTAGCATTTTGAAGCTCTGTTTCACATCCTTAGAGCATGTTGCCAGGAGGGACCAGTCCTTAGAGAAGGACATCATGCTTGGAAAGGTGGAGGTACAACACAGGAGAGAAAGACCCTGGATGAGATGGACTGACATAGTGACTGGGGCTATGGGGCAGGTGTGTTGGAGACTGAAATTGGCTCAGGATAGAACAGACATCAGAGCTATTGCGTATTGGGTTGCTATAAGTTGCAGGCGACTTGACAACACATAGCAAGAACAATTGAATTTTGCTTTTCTCCAAGAGCAGATGATCTGAACAGTGTGTCCATATGTATTTTAGATGCTGTTGTTGCTCTTAGGGGCTGTCAAGTTGACTATAGTGACCTGAACCTTGCCCTATCTTGTACCAGCCTCATATCTCATATGCTCAAACCCACTGTAACAGTCACTGTGTCAATTTAACCTTGAGGGTCTTCTCTTTTTCTGACTTGCCAACTTCCCCACAATCACGTCTTTCTCTCTGTCTTGAGCACCCCGCATGAGATGGAGTTTCACTATCTGTGCCTCTAATGAGGCCTGGCTATACTTTCTGCACAAACAAGATAGACTTGTTTGTTCTTTTTTGATAAGTTATAGGATAGCCAGAACTCTTCTCTGATATTACAATTCAAAGCCACTCGTTTTCTTCTGCCATCTTACTAATTTTCTAACTTTCAGGTGTATAGAAAGCAAATGAAGAGACCATGGCTTGGATTGGGTGCACCTTAGTCTCTAAACTGATATCCTTGCTCTATAGCACTTTGAGAAAGTCCTCAACAGTAGATTTTCCCAATGCAACATGTCTTTTGATTTCTTGACTTCTGTTACCTTGTGCGTTGGTTTTGGATCCAAGAAAAATTAAGTTATTGACAACTTCAATCTTTTCCATCTAGCATGATGCTGTCTATTGGTCCAGTGGTGATGATTTTTGTTTTCTTGATGATGAGATGTAATCTGTATTGAAGGCTATAGTTTTTTCATCTTCTGCAGAAAATCTTTTCATATCCTTCAATGTCTACAAATAAAGTTCTATCAACTGTATAATGCTGGTTGTGAATGAGTCTTCCTTAAATCAATTCTGTCCAAAATAGATGTATAGGGAATGATTCTATTTTAATCCCTTGTTTGCTGAGAGTTTCTCATTTGGAATAGATTTTTAGATATCTTCTGATTCAACCTTCCATTCTACAGAGCCTTTTTCTCTACATCTTTGATAATTTTCTTTCTGTATCAAGACACTTTTTCCTAGAGCTTTGGAAACAACCTCATCACATGTTAGACAACCTCTAATGGGAATTTTCTCCACATAACGACCACAAATCTTTATCTGGAATACCTATGCACTGATTCCAGGCTTAAACAATTCAGAACCACTTGTGTTTTAAGTTGATTTCTTTGTTAAAATCCACTGAACACTACATACTGCTCACACATATTCTCCCGCTAAGAACAATCGTGCCACTCAGCTATTCTTGGCTAAAGATAGCTTATCCCAACATATTCTGTGGGACCTCTCTTTGACCCTAAAAAGAAAAGAATAGACTTACAAATGCAGTACAGTCTGAGGGAACTCTAGTAGCCCAGTTTAAGGGGTTGTGCGGCCAACTCATAGGCTTCTAGTTGGAGTCCACCTGCACCCCATGAGGAAGATGAGAACTCTTCTCTCATGTAACTTACACCCTCTGAAAACCCGCTGATGGGCCAGCAGGTCAGTGCTGAGTTCACAGCATGGAACAGCAGTACAGTCGTAACAGTTAGAAGCTTGAACGGGACACTGTTACTGTTGGTCATATCTACGCACCTGAAATTGCCTGGACTGTGCACGTCTGTTTTAATGGAGTTGACGGCGTACTCTGGCCGGTAGGTCCCGCACCAAACCTAGGGACAGAAACAGAAAAAAGCGAAGAAGTGATCTCAGATGAGATCGAGTACTATCTGTTCGGACGTCACTTGGTCAGACTGAGTACAAGCAAATTTCTCATTGCACAAATTAAACGGGAAGCCTGTATTTCCTATTTACTCTTGGAAGAACGTTCAGCGATAGACAACCAGGAATATAGTTCTTTATTATTAATATGATCTGAAAGTCTGTTACACACAGTGACAGCTGGTCAAGTCAAATGCCATGTCATAACTGATTAAAAATAAGTAAACCCAGAATGCAATATCTAACTTACTGTGAAAATAAAATTTTTAAAAATTTCATATCTAGCAATAAAAAAAAAAAAAGAAGATACAATACCTGGGCAAAGTTCAAGAAGAATAGTTGTCTGTGGTTTAGGTTAAGTCCAGGAAGTAACTTTTCTTCACCATTCTTTTTAACATAATTTTCATAAGCCTAGGAAGTTAATAAAATAGAAATATGATGCTTATTATTCCTAAACTTACATAGAAAGAAAATGCAAAAGGTCACATAACTAAATAATTAACCTTTCATTTCAGAATCCCACGATAAGACATTTAGATGTGATAACCCACCACCAATTCACAGGTTGGCAAGAATAACTAGAGTCTGGCACATGTCACACAATCAATAAATGTCTTTTGAATGAATGGATGACATTAATTAAGTGCTGACAAACCTCCCTGAATGTTGTTCTATAAATAGATGGGTATGTCCTGCCAGTTGGCTCAATTAATTGCCAAGAAATTTTGCAATGTCCATATTTAGCTGAGTTACAACTCTTAGAAAAAAACAGACTCCCACCAGACTTCACCTCTTTGAGTAATTCTTACCAAATCAAGGATTTCTCCTGATACTCCTTAGAGACCTCGTAGTCTTAGATTCTAAGGATACGAATAAGGGATCATTGTGAATTTCTAAAAGGATAAAACGGCTAACTGACATTCCGCTAGACCGGGGTCAAATCCCACTATCAACGAGCTAATTTAACTCCTTGACCCTCCATGGGTTTTGGAGGCTATAACACTTAACAGGAGAAGACTCGCCACCTTTTGTCCACAACACTGCTGGCTGAGCTGAACCACTGGCTTTCAGGTCAGCAGTCATACACTAAGACACCCAGGACCCATTCAATTTACTTTACTTGAATACTAGAACATATTCTTGCATTCTCAAGGATTTTGCATAGTGCATAATGTATCATAATGTTGGCAGTTCAAATCCACAGTTATCCACTGGGAGAAAGCTGGGTTCTCTTCTCCCGTAAAGGTTTATAGCCTCAGAAAGCTGATTCAAGAGTGGCTCTGAGTGGGAACAGAATCTGCAGCAATGAGTTTATGTTACTTATTGAAAAATGGAGACTTCCTCTTCTAAACCTACTTAAGGATCGACAGGAAACTTTCCGAGATGTGGCACTTATAATTAAATGCAAAGGAAAGTGGGCAATTAGATGATGAGAAGACATTTCTTTTTTTTCCTATTCCCAAGCTCAACTAATTGACTTGACTTTTGTTATGTTGACTTGGTTCCAACTCAGAATTCAGCAACTGTCAAGTCCTGAAACCCAACCTCTTGCTTTGTTTACCCTCCCTGATGCAGCCACTGTGTCAATCAGTCTCACTTAGTGTTTATGCCTCATGTGAGATGCTTTCTCTCATTGCCAAATGTAACGTGACTTCAAAATGTAACATGAGGCTAGGCACTGCATGTTAAGATCTCATGTCTTTTCAAAGTGCAATGAAATATTTGCACAAATGGAAAGCACTAGTTTCAGTTCTGCATTTACTTGAGGTGAAGGTCTCCATGGAAGCACTGTCAGCTCAGACTCTGGCTGGCTTTCCCAGCAGTGATTCTCAATCTGGCTGCGTGTTAGAATCACCATGTGAGGACTACGTGTGCCTTTCACTTTCAGCCAAGATGAAGTGACAGGGACTAAGTTTACTTTCCCATCTGAAGCAACCAAAGGACAAAATATACGAAACAGGGCTGCACAACGCTGGACATCAGCAAAAAGGAAAGTGATCCCTCAGAGATGTGAATAAGTAAGGCGAAACTTCCAATTGTTCCAGCTTATTTCCTGGAAAGAATTTCCAGTCTAGGTAGTGAGAGAAAACCTAGGTGGAGGCCTGAGTGTTCTTTGAGTTGCAGAGAAGGAACTGCCAAGGAGAGGAGGGGAGAGATCTCTACAGAAAGAGAACCCTTGGAGCCACAGAGAACTGCATGCTGTATGGGGATGAGAAGTGATGTGGACTTGTGCAAATAAGCTACCTAAGGCTAAAAAAAGAACTACCCAAGAACACAGAGATATCAATGCCTGCTATCTGCAGAAAAAGGGAGCTCTGGTGGCCTTGCAAGTAAGGCATTGTGCTACCAACCCAAACTGGTCTGAATCTACCAGTAGCTCCGCAGGAGAAAGACGGAAATCTCTTCCTGTGCGATCTACACCCTCTGCAAACCTGCTGAAGGGTCAGCTATGAGTCGGTTCTGACTTTATGTCAATGAGAAAGAAATATGCACAAAGCTTAGAGCAGTGCCTATCCTCAGCAGAAAGAATGGATAATCTCAAAAAGTGCTGTCTATGCAGTTAAGGGTATAACTGTCTCCTGACTAAGCACAGATCCCACTTCACCTAACAAGTGTTAAAGCAAGAATCAAAAGAGGCAAATCAGTTTCAAAATCTTTAACTGGGTCAAAACAAAGCTCAAGCATATTTAGGGGAATTAAAAAGTCTTCAGCATCCAGAGTGGTAAAACATACCATGTCTGGCATCTAATGACGACACTACCAAGCACGCAGAGAAGCCGGAAAGGTGGGCTCCCCACCCAGCCCCGGAATTGGCTGAGATGCATTCTTTGGGGAACTGTGCGGCCAGCTCAGTTTCACAAGCTCCACTCTCTGTTCAATCTCGCAAACTTGCTCAAGGTGCATGTCCGCTCAGGTGTTTCCACATTGCTCCGATGCTTCCTCTAACCGACCAAAGTTCCTTCTCCTTCTTCCCTTTCACCCAGGTTTTTCCATGGTGAACAAAACTTCTTACCTCTTCACTCTTTCTGCTAACTACTCCTTCCATCCATGTGTGAGAGAAGCTTCTGGAAGCTCAGTTCTGGAAGCATTTCATTCTCTGGGCCCTCTCAGGTGGACTGTGCTTATTCCCTACTTGTGGGTTACCCTGGTTTGAAGGTCAGGCTTCAGGTCACTCTCACTCCTTGTTTCCAAGATCATTGTTCTTCTACTCTTTCATGAAAATACACATTTTATTGTAAACATAGCACTTAAGAGGCTATCGTCTAATCTTTGCTCACATCATCAAATGAAGACACTGTTTATATCTGATTTAATAACATTCTTCTATCTACAGTTCCTAGAATAGGATCAAACACGTTTTTAAAAAAAATCATTGAAAAGACCCAGTGTGAAAAATCAGTGTATATTTGTAATTTTGTAAGTAAACCAGTATAAAAGAAAAATTTTATTTAAAAAAAAAACAAAAAAACCCATTGGGTTGACTTTGACTAGTGGTGTCTCCGTAGCATTTTAGATGATTGACATTTTGAAAGGAGATCACCAGACCTTTATTCTGAGGTACTTCTGGGTAGACACGAACCAGTAAGTAATCTCTTAGGTTGCAGTTGATCATATCTATTGCTTGCACCTCGCAAGAGACTCTTTTAATCACATAGTTCAACTTTTAAGACGTATTTGCTGAATCCAAGAATCGATGGAGGCCTAAATGAGATTCTAAGAGATGAAAAAAAAAAAACCCCAAAAACCAAAAAAAAACCCAAACAAACAAATCTAGCCACTGTTCTTGAGAATTGACTCAGACCTAGTGTGACCTTTGCTTAGGTTTTGAAGCTTATAAATCTCAACAGAGGAGACAGGCTCACAATTTGTCCCTGGGGAAGCCATTAAGTTCGAACTGCCAGCCTCCTGTTAGCAAGTTAACATTCTTCCATCTGCTAGAACAAAGTCTCTTCAGTTCATTCTCTATCATTATAATTGAACTATGGCTTATATTTGTGTTTTGTGGTAATTATTGTTCTCAAATGATGCTTCACGTGCTATGAAGCTGAGTATTTTGTCTACAAATTACTCAATAATCGTGCAATAATAATTCTTAGGCAGCATGTGCTCTCAGAGTTATTTCAGTGACTTACTCTTAGAAACACATTGTCTTCTCTGAAAACTTTGCATGTGTTCTCACTCTTGTTGAGAAAACATTTCTTGATCCTTCTTTTCTTTGGTTTCTTGGAGGTTCAGAGACAGATTTTAGGCTCAACAATTGGCACTGTGTTGTTATTATTACTAATTGACAAGCCTCTGCTAATTTCTACAACTTATTGCTTAGACTGTAAGTTCCTTTTGTAAAATCCTTTAAATGAATTAAGATAATAAATACGCTAACTGCTGTAATGGGACAGGAAGATTATGTCGAGAGAAGATAATGACGAGACTCACTCTGTAAGCTTGTCCGATACCTCCATTATCAGCAATATTTTCTCCCAACGTATTAATGCCATTGAGCTGTTTGGGGGGGGGGGGGAGGGAAGGAAAAAAATCCTTAGCTACAATGAAATGAAATGTAAATCAAAACATAAATACTCTATTCAAGATTTAACATCTATAAAATATTCCAAGGAAAGGCGGGCTGACATACGTGCTGGCCGCCAGCAAGGTCCCATGTGAAGTTTCCATACTGGTACACCATGCACTTGGACTGCTCTTTAAAATTGTTTGCAGACTGTGGACTCCACCAGTCAGCCAGGTCTCCATCTTTATTAAAGTTTCTGCCTGTAATAAACATATTTAAGGAAAATGCCAGCCTGTTACTCCAGCTACAGGGAGCTGTCTTAATCCATAGTCCAAGAATCGAAATATCATAGTGAGAGGGCAAGAGACTGGGCAGAAGATAACAAGTTTCGTCCTCATCCACGGAACTGATGAAGCCTGAATTTCTAAGCTGTGAACGTACTTGATATTTCACACAATGTTTCTTTTATGGCGAAACCCATCATCCAGCTATTTAATATGTTTTTACAAATACAAAATCTGTCCCTTGTACAAATTAGTGACACTGATTATATTGGACACAAGGTGTAAATGTCACCCAGTCACCGAGGCCCCGACTCTCAATACCTTGGCCAAGGCTACCAAAGAGAACATTCCTAAAATCGGGTCTTATTTCTGTCACATGATTTTTCACCTGAACTGAACATGCCTAATGGATGTTTGAAGATTTTAAAGAAAGCAACAATCTTGTTTTGGCATTCACTTACTATTCACACAGCCTTCACGAGACACTCCAGGCTCATGACTTCTCTCTACTTGAAGCACAAAGATTAAGTCTCCTCCCACCATTGCCCTGCTCCCCGCTGAACCCCCAATTTTCTGGGAGCTTTCCTATTAACCATAAGCTACACTGTTATTTTCACTTTTTTATCTTTAATAGAAATTATATGTTATATGTTTGGCACTTAATTGTATTATCTTTTCAAAATGTAAATATAGTATGGTGTACAAAAACAAAGGTTATGATGTCAAATTACCAGAACTAGAACTCAGTCTGTAAATTCAAAATTATTTTCTATCCAAGTACCAGTGTCCATAGGACTCTGAGTTACTTGTCTTGAGTAGGTCTGATCCGGGTTGTTGATTAATTCCTAGCTCTGTGACTCTTAAGCAAGTACTTTGGTGGTTTCTTCCTCTCGTTGAGAAATGAAAATAGTAACAACACCTCTAGCTCTTAAGATTACTGTATAGCCCTCCTTCCAGCCTCTCTTCCCCAACCAGATCCCTGCCACCTCCCAGCTGGCCCGTGAGGCCAGCGCCCTCTGTGGGGGTGACCCTTTCTGCAGCTTCGACGTGGTGGCCACTGGGAACCTGAGTGTGGGCAGCGCCACCAAGGCCGCGCACCAGCTGCACCTGCACCGCATGCAGAGCCTGCAGCCAGTTGTGTCCTGTGATTGGGTGGCACCCCCTGCCAATGGACACAAGGAGGGCACCAGCTACCTGGCCGGCTCCACTGTCCACTTCAGCTGCAACCATGGGTACAGCCTGGACGGACCAGGGGCCAGCACCTGCCAGGGAGATGGCACCTGGTCCCTTCCCACCCCTCGGTGCCAGCCAGGTAACAGTTACACGGTGCTGCTGAGTGTTATCTTCGGGGGCCTGGCCGTGGCCCTAGTTATTGTGCTGCTGTTCATGCTGCTACGTCGCCAGAAGGGCCACAGGGACCTTTGGGGCTCTGGGCCATGAATACCAGCTACCAGTCAAGGCCACACAGCAAGACTCAGATGCTTGGGACCCAGGGCCCATGGGGCTTGGACCACACACAGCCCAGGCTGTCCTAGAATTTTTGATTCTCAAGTCTCTGGCCCCAGAGTTCCAGCATTTAATTCTTACAGTTCCAAATCCCCATGACCCTGACCCCCAATGTTTCAGTCCTGGTATTCCCAGGTCGTCCCCAGTGCGTGCTGCCTGCCTTGATCCCCAGCTCTGATCCACTTCAGGGCCCTGGAGCTGCTCTTCCTGCAACAGGGACAGCCCCTCTGCTCACCCTGCTCACTTGGGTGTCCCTTAGCAGTGTCTACCTCTTGTTTGAGGAGAAAATACAGCCAGTGTGTGGTGAAAAAAAAAAAAGATTACTGTATAGTTTGATTGAGGTGATGCTCTAACATATACAAAGACTCATTATTACATAATAGAAATTTAATAAACAGTGACTGTAATTAATCATATCTGTGCAGTATTGTTTTCCTACACTCACTGACAGTGGGGCTGGTCCTTCCATGGAATACCTAGAATTATGCTTGGCACTGGACAGATACTAAGGAAGTCTTTTTTTTTTTTTTTTAATTTTACCCTTCCTGTCTCCTTTTCTTTCCTGCCTCTCTGAGACTTGGAACTTGTTAAGGCTTAGTAATCTGCTCTATTTTTCCCTGTACAGATGCACTAATCTTTATCAGAGCTTCAACTGTCACCTTTATATATATCTCATGTCTTTAACATACATCTCAGCTTACACTGAAATCCCAAATTCATTTTGCTACTTGGTGCAGCATATAAACAGTTAAATGCCTCTCATTGGTAAGGTCTTGAACTTATGGATATGATTTTATGGATAAGATGAAACAATGCAAACAAAATCCACAACAAAACACACCACCAAGGACAAGTAACTTGACGAGTTACCAGAACCAGACACTGCCAATTGACTGTAAACTTAACATGTGATTTTAAGGCATGAGCTCTATCCTCTAAGGCTTTGGATAAATGAGACATGCGCATGAAGAATAAGATTAGACATTATCACTGTGTTAGGAAACATCAGAGTATTTTCTGAATGTATATATTTTAGACTATGTATGTGTGTGTACTTACATAATTATTTTTATGGGTATTTTTTTAAAATCAATTTTATGAAAGTTTACAGAGACTTAGGATTTCCAGTCACTCATTGTTGCACTTTTCTCCCTACCCACCCCCTCCCCCCAGTCCACTCTTCTCCTTGAGAAAAAAAACTCTTTCATTGTTATGCAATCCCTCCCCTTCAAGTCCACTCCACTATTATTTATTAATTTTAATGAAAGTTTACAGAGACTTAGGGTTTCCAGTCACTCATTGTTGCACTTTTCTCCCTGCCCACCCCTCCCTCCCCCAATTCATTCTTCTCTTTGAAAAGTAAAAGGAAAATTCTTTCATTGTTATACAATCCCCGCCCCCCCAAAGTCCACTCCACTATGCAGCCTTCATTTTGGACTCCTGTCCAGACATAATACCTAATCACATACCCCTTTTAGTTTTTAAGCAGCAACTTTTTAAGGTTTTAAGTTGAAAGAATGGTGGTCCTAGAGTCCGATGATATACTGATGAATGTAATTCTGTATTGATAAATCACAGTAACTCTTAATCCCGATATCAGAACCAAAGGAAATGTACACTGCCCCTTACCATTGTCATCAAAACCGTGGGTGATTTCATGTCCAATGACCATGCCGATGCCCCCGTAGTTCAGTGAGTTAGACTGCTGGGCACTGAAGAACGGAGGCTGCAGAATGCCGGCTGGAAAAACTGCAGGAAAGAAGAATTAAAGATAATTAGTGACAACGTGCAAGAATTGACTTTACAGCTATTAACTTTGACACCTTTTCAATCTGTTTAAAACACCACCTTGGTGCATTCATCCATACCATCTAATATAGGACACACTGCTGTGGTACATTTACTTTTGTGATCTTTATTTTCCTTTATTTCATTTTAAGCATCCAAATAAATTGCTATATTGTGCTTAACAAAAAAAAAAAAAAAAAAGATGATTAATGGCATTCTTCTGTGACAACAGGCCTGGGGTGAGGAATGGGCCTGCTAAGCTTTTAAGGAAATAAACTTCTCAGTTGAAAACAAAAAAAAAAAAATTCTGTGGTGGAAATGAATACAGGTTTCTTCTTAATGATGCGAAAAAAAAAAACAAAAAAAAGCATGTACCCCAAAATAGCATCATAAACTATGATTATAATGCCAATTAACACTTTAGTTTTCCAAACCTTTTAAGATTGTTTACTACATTAAGGAGTCAGGACACGGACTAATTAAGTTTCTGGTGGAAAACTGGACGTAGGGAGAAATAGCTACTAGAGTAGCTGTAACTAACAGTTACTATAGTAAGCACAGTGCTTTAAAGTTGTCTCTCAAATTTTAGTCATGCACAAAGGTTTATTAAATAAACACAGAAGAATTTCATGAAACAATGTATAAGCAAGAGCCCGCAGTGATGAAGAACAAAGCTCAAGCTTCTCTGAAAGAAACAGCAAAAAACAAAGCCCCAGGACCTGATAGCACACCAATCGACATATTTCAACAAAAAGATGCTACCCTGGATGTTCTCACCAGGTTGTATCAAGAAATCTGGAAGACCACCTGACCACTTGACTGAAAGAGATCTATATTTGTTCCCATTCCAAAGAAAGGTGACCCTACAAAGTGCAGAAATTATCGAACAATATCACACACAAGCAAGATCCTTCTGAAGATTATCCAAAAAGGAATGAAACAGCACATCAACAATCACCCTCTCTAGAATGAACTTATTTGTTCTCCTAGCAGTGCAGCAGTCTATGATATATTCAGTGCTCTTCTCCAGCACGACAGCTCAAAGGCATCAAAGAGAACTGCCTGAAGTGCTGGTTGGATTTCAAAGAGGCCATGGTACTAGGGATATTATACGTAATGTCAGATGGATCATGGCTGAAAACAGAGAATACCAGAGGAATGCCTATTTGTGTTTCATTGACTATTCAAAGACATTTGACTGTGTAGATCTTAACAAATTGTCACTGACTCTGAGAAGAATGGAAATCCCAGAACACTTGTTTGTGCTTATGCAAAGGTTATATTTGGACCAGGAGGCAGTTGTCAGAACAGAGCAAGGAAACAATTCATGGTTCAAAATTGGAAAGGGTGTATGTCAAGGATGTGTCCTACTGCCATACATTTTTAATCTATATGTGGAACAGATTATCTGGGAGGCTGGGATCTACGAGGAGAAATATGGCATCAAGATTGAAGGTAGACTCATCAGCAATCTGTGTTATGCAGACGATACGACCCTGCTGGCTGAAACTGAAGAGGACCTGAAGCGCTTGCTGCAGAGGGTCAAGGACTGCAGCCTTCAATATGGATTAAAGCTCAAAATAAAAAAAAAGAAAGATTCTCACCACTGGGTGGATTGGCAGCATCATGATAGATGGTGAAGAGATTGAGATTGTTAACAGCTTTAATTTGCTTGAATCCACATCAACACTCTTGGTACCAGCAGCCAGGAAATTAAAAGAGAAATGCATTCGGAAAGTCTGTTGTCAGAGACTTCTCGAAAGTACTGAAGAACAATGATGTCAGTCTGGAGACTAAGATGCATCTGATCCAGGCCATGGTCTTTGCAACTACTCGCTCTGTGTCATAAAGCTGGACAATGACTAGGGATGATAGAAGGAGAATTGATGCCTTTGAGTTGTGGTGCTGGAGAAGAATATTGAATATGGGCTGCTAGGAGAACAAATAGGCTTGCCCTAGAGAGGGTTAAACCAGGCTGCTCTTTGGAGGCAAGGATTCTGAAGCTTCGTCTAACATACTTTGGACATGTTGCAAGGAGAGTTCGGTCCTTGGAGAAGGACACCATGCTTGGGAGGGTGGAGGGACGGTGCAGGAGAGAAAGACCCTCAAAAAGATGGATTGATTCAGTGACTGGGGTAATGGGATAGGTAAGTTGGAGACAGTGAGGTTGGCACAGGACAGAGGAGGGTTTAGGGTTGTACATAGGGTCACTATGAGTCACAGGTGACAGCACATAATAACAACAATAACAACAATAAAACAAAAAATAAAGAAAAACTACCACTTCATTGTCACTGGGTTGGTTCCAACTGATGGAAGAGCTCCCCTGTGGCCACGGCTGTAAGTCTGAGAAGGAGGGAAGTGCCTCCTTCCTCTCCCAACGACCAGTGGTGAATTTGAATCGTTGACCTTTGGTTTAGCAGTCTGACATATAAAATCCCTCAAGCATCTAAGCTTACTTTATTTTTCAGGAGACACACAATCACTCTCCCTTTCTGTTTAGCTCTTTGTGTCCTTCCTCTCCCTGCTGCCCCACACTCACCATCAGAACCTCAAATGCCAGCCCTCTAAGAGCGGAGATCTAAAAAAAAAAAAGAGCAGAGATCTAGGTGTCTATCCATTCATTGTTTGTTTGTTTTGGTCCTTTCATCTTTGTTTTTTTCTATTATCTCTAGCACCTAAAATCAGAACAGTAATACACATAATAGATGACCAAGAAACATGTTGGTTATTTTTTTTTAAAGTATCAGAATAAGCAACACTCACTGTTGTGAACTCAATTCCTATTCATAGGGAGCCTCATCGGGGTTTCTGAGGCTGTAAATCTTTATGGAAGGAGACTTGCTATTTGTTGTCGCGACTCACAGCGACCCTATGTACAACAGCCCTAAACCCTGCTCTATCCTGTGCCAATCACACTGCCTCTGACACACCCATCCCGATTACCCCAGTCACTGAATCAATCCAACTCATAGAGGGTCTTCCCCTCCTGCGCTGTCCCTCTACCATACCAAGCATGATGTCCCTCTCCAAGGACCTGTCTCTCCTTAAAACATGTCCAAAGTATGTCAGACGAAGCCCCAGAATCCTTGCCTCCAAGGAGTAGCCCGGTTTAACCCTCTCCAGGATGAATCTTCAGGGTACATTCAATACTTTTCTCCAGCACCACAGCTCAAAGGCATCAATTCTCCTATCTTCCCTAGACATTGTCTAGTAGATTTGAATTGCCAACCTTCTAGTGAGCAGTTTGATGCATTAAACACTACGCTAATGACAAATGGAATGAAAACTCTTTTCATGATGCTTTCAACGAGATCAGCAGCAGAAGAACTCATAGTTTCATGTCTACTCTGATATCTGTAACAAATAGGCCGCTTTCTCCAATGGGATGCTCCATATACTCTTTGACTTTAAAATGTGGAACAGCAAAACCATTTATTTCCCTTCTAAACAATCATTTTATTGACTTTATTATTTTTTGCTAATGACATTTTGCTAATGGTTTCCCAGTCACCCAAAGTGAAAATTCCATAATTGTTTTTCATGTATCCTTTCTTACAAAGTCTTTTTACATTTGCTGTAGCAAACACCATGTCAAACACCTTCCTTCCAGTCACAGCTCAAATCTATTTATTTCTTCTTTTCTGATTTCCTGCCATCATTTATCTCACAATCTCATTTCTTGTCTCAAAAACTGCTTATACCTGTCTCCTAATTGGTCTCCCAACTTCCTGTTCACCTCATTCTAACCTATTTACTCTTTTTAAAAAATTTTTATTGTTAGATTTTTTTTTTACTCTTAATCTATCCTATTTACTCTTAATCTATCCTGCACCTAGATTAACTCTGGTCATTATCACTCCATCCTTTTTAAACAAGCAAAGCACTCAATGGCTTAGCATTGCTCTCTGAATACAAAATCTTCCAGCTGGCTTTTGAATTTGTAGTCCTGCCTACTTATCCAGTCTCACCCATGCCTTTTCCTCTCCTACCCAACCCCAACAATTTTACATATTATATATCCCAGCACATTATACAACTTTTATCATCTCTCAATTTCTACAAATGCTTTGAAAAAAAAAACCCTTATAATTTCTGATATACGTTAATTACTGCATCTTTTTATGTTCTCTCAGAATACGTTTCCCTGTTTTAAGTTTTAAAAAAGATAATTGTTAATCCAATTTGCTCTGTAAACTTTTACCCAAGTCTGAACACAAGTTTTTTTTTAAAAAACCCAACAAAACCAAATCACTGTTTTGGACTATAATATTTAGAGTTGGCTAATCTCTGAATTCAGAAAGAGGTTAAGATTGACGTTCATATTTTATCTTTTGTTTTATAACTCTAGTCTCCAGTAAAGAAACAACATGTTCTGTAATCTAAAAACAAAGTAACACCGTAGTATCAATATTTATTAGTATAAAGCCCTGGCTTTTGCTAATGGGATACAAAGAACAATACTGTTACTAAATCATGGTTCTCTTTAAAACAAAACAAACCTGGAAATATGTTACAGCAAATGACCAAAAAAGAGAAAAAAGAGGAAGTTTATCCATAAAGATTTCTGATGGAAATCATACTGTGGATGCAGCTGCCTGAACTATTAATAGTGCCAAGAAATTATTTTTAGTCTAAGGTACAAAATTAAGGGTAGTGCTTTATTAGCTTAAAGTGAACACTATCTCCCACACGATGTACTTGGATGAAAATCCACCCGTTATGTAACATGCACTTAAGAAACAAGCTATCAGGACTAAACTTGCCGCTTTAATTATATCCTGACATGCCATTCTTCCAGCAAGTGATACAATTTTTTTGAAGATACCATGTTAGATATTAGTCTTCAAGTTAGCACTGTAAATGATGCTATCCCTTTATTCTGTCAGCTGGATATTTTTTTTTTAAATTTATTAGTATTAATTTTAATGAACGTTTATAGAGACTGAGGATTTCCATTC